AAAGAGGAGAATTTATGGTATGCTCCCATTTATCTTCAAAAAGAACATGTGTGTTCCTTTTTATTAAAAACCTCCCATTGAAAAGATGGAACCTCACTATTTATTTTTTTTGGCTTCTTTGGATTTACTTGGATTAGTCCAGTCATGAGTTTAACAAGATGACTACTGCACTTGAACTTTTAAAGCATACAAATACAGCGATAGCTAAACATAGGAACTTGTCACATGGACCACAGGCACACCAAAGCTTCCAGCTCAACAGGAATACATTAGCCTGTCAGGAACCATTTCACATTTCAGCACAGACCTCAGGGACCCTCATCAGTTTCATTCTTTGTTCTGAATTAAAGGAAGTCTGTATTCAATCTATGCAAACACCCTTCACAATGGGAGATGGCCCCCAAATGGGAAATCCACTGCCCCACCCCTCCCCCAATGCAAACACTCACTCAGTGCTCAGGGGAGAAGGGGAGGAGGCCAGCCAGTTTTCCCGGCCACAACCTGAGACGCTGAGGGGAGGGAGGGGATCCTTACGTCCTTGGCTGCCTTTGGATCCGACACACAGGCAAACGTGATGTCACAAGTTGAAACGACTTCAGCGGGGGTTCTTCCTAGGCGGGCCCCCTCCTGGATGAACAAATCACACTGCAAAAGTCACAGATCCTAATGTGAGCTGCAGGCAGTGCACAACACACACACCAGCCAGGCCAGAGATGCAGTGCTCAGTCCTCCGGAGTGGCCTTCCAAGGCAGGAGGCTGAGACTGTAAGCCAGGGACCCCAGCGGGTAGTCTGACTGCTCAGGGAAGTGGATGGGTGCCCCTTAAGCACAGTCTTGTTGTTTTTATTTTTTTTTTGGCCGCACTCATGTGAGACCTTAGTTCCCTGACCAGGGGTTGAACCCATGCCCCTACAGTGGAAGCACAGAGTCTTAACCACTGGACTGCCAGGGAAGTCCCCAGTCTTGCCTAGGAGGATGTTCCATGTTCTACTTCACAGGAAGCACAAAACAAACGTCTGCTGAAGGTTTTCTGAATGAAGAACAGGATGTGAATAGTACTTGTCTGCAGCTCTTTGTGGCTGTCGCTGTCTTGGCTGTGGTGAAATCTACCCAGTGCCCTGTGAGCTGGGGAAGCAGGGCTTGGGCTAACAGGTTGCCATTCCTTACTGAATTGTTTCTGGGCGGGGGGTCTACAAGCACTAATTTTTCTTTTCTGAAAATTAAAATCACCAGAACATCTCATAACAAAATACATCATTAACGTTTTGCTGTATTTCCTTTTTCTTTCTTTTCTTTTTCTTTTTTTTGTGGTACGCGGGCCTCTCACTGTTGTGGCCTCTCCCGTTGCGGAGCACAGGCTCTGGACGCACAAGCTCAGCAGCCATGGCTCACAGGCCCAGCCGCTCTGCGGCATGTGGGATCCTCCCGGACCAGGGCCCGAACCCGTGTCCCCTGCATCGGCAGGCAGACTCTCAACCACTGCGCCACCAGGGAAGCCCTGTATTTCCTTTTTCTAAAGGCATTTAAAAAAAGTATTTAGAATAATTTGGACCTATTATTTTATATCTAATTTTTAATATTTTATATAATTACATCTATCAATGTTATAGACTTTCATAATTACTGTTTATAACGCACGGTTGCAAGATACTCCACTGAGAGATATACCTGAATTTACCTAATGGCTCTCCTGCAGTTCAATATCTGGCTTGATTTTAATTATAAATGACCCCAACAAATATCCATCTCTTCTATTTTTTGAATTTAGATCTCTGTAAGTAGAATATAACAGGCTCCAAAAATGGTTTTAAAAAATGTAGACAAATGGCTTTCGAATAAGGCTGGGTCCATTTATAATGATCTCTGGCAAAGTCTCAAATCACCAACACAGAGCACATTTTTTTAAAAACAACAAATAAGTACACATAAATACATTAAAAATTTGTCCTACTAGATGATTTAACAAGCCAAAAATGGCAACTTTCTGCTTGATATATTCTGATTACTCCTGATTACTGAATCTAACACCTCTGTTTATTAATTGTTTCCTCTTTGTGAGCTATTTAAAAATCTTTAAATCATTACTATACTGTTTATTTAACAAGAAATTCCACTCCTGGTTTTATACCTAAAGAAAACAAAAACACTAATTCGAAAAGATACACACACCCCAAATGTTCATAGCAGCATTACAATAGCTAAAATATGGAAGCAACCTAAGTGTCCATCAACAGATGAATGAATAAAGATGTGGTACACACACAGACACACACACAGAAGAATATTATTACTCAGCCATAAAAAGAATGAAATTCTGCCATTTGTAACAACATCGATGGACCTAGAGGGTATTATTATGCTTAGTGAAATAAGTCAGACAGAGAAAGACAAATATGCTACACTATCACTTATATATGGAACCTAAAAAACAAACAAATAAATGAATATAAATAAAAGAAACAGACTCATAGAACAAATTAGTGGTTACCAGTGAGGAGGGGGAATCGAAGAGGGGCAAAATAGGAGTAGGGGACAGTACAAACTGCTATATATAAACTAAATAAGCTACAAGGATATATTGTGCAGCATAGAAAAATATAGCCATCATTTTATAATAACTTTAAATGAAATATAACCCATAAAAATACTGAATTACTATGCTGTACACCTGAAACTAATCTACTAATGTAAATCAACTATACTTCAAAAAACCAAAACCAAACAAAACCCCCAAAACCCCCCACAAAAACTAGGGAAAAATACACAAAAATTGTTAGGGTAGTGGGAAATTTTTAGAAATACAAAATTTTTAAATTCCAAAAAAAAAAAAAAAAAGAGTTGGTGTACTTTTCAATTTTTTTTTGGTTTATTTTTTGTTGTGAGGAGTATTATCAAAAACTATTCATGGGGTGGCTGGGATGAATTGGGAGAATGGGACTGACATATATACACTACTATGTATAAAACAAACAGCTAATAAGAACCTACTGTATAGCACAGGGAACTATACTCAATGCTCTGTGGTGACCTAAATGGGAAAGAAATCCAAAAAGAGAGGATATATGTATAGGGACAGCTGATTCACTTTGCTGTACAGCAAAAACTAATACAACATTGTAAAACAACTATACTCCAGTAAAAACTAATTTAAAAAAATATTCATCTTGGGCTTCCCGGTGGTGCAGTGGTTAAGAATCCACCTGCCAATGTAGGAGACAGCGGTTCAAGCCCTGGTCGGGGAAGATCCCACATGCCACAGAGCAACTAAGCCCGTGCACCACAACTACTGCGCCTGAGCTCTAGAACACGTGAGCCACAACTACTGAAGCCTGTGCACCTAGAGCCTGTGCTCCGCAACAAGAGAAGCCACCGTAAAGAGAAGTCTGCGCACCACAACAAAGAGTAGGCCCCGCTCGCTGCAACTAAAAGAAAGCCTGTGTGCAGCAATGAAAACCCAACACAGCCAAAAATAAAAGAAAATAAATTTATTAAAAAAAAAATTCACCTTTTTCCTTATAAAGACAAACTTAAAAAGATCTATGTTAATATTTTTGTTTTCTTCTGGTTTTTCCTTTTGAAAGAAATAAGGGTAAGCAGCAGAGCTGTCTGATTCCAAGCCCAAGTTCATAATTGCTTTGCTCTACTGTCTTCCCATAAATTAATCTGGAAAGAAAGGCCACGTTTATAACAATTAAGCTTTCCAATCAAGAAAACAGGATGACCGGAGGCACTTCTATCAAATGGGAACATACTTATAATGCAAACCCTTAGATTCTACTGATGTTCTACAAGTATGCATGTCTAGATTTCCTGGTTACCCTGGCCTTGAATCAGAAATATCTGACGACAGGGCCTCTGAGATCTCACTCCTGACTCAGGGCCCCGCAGCACCTACCCAATGCCCAGCACCTGAAGCCCACATCTCTTAGCATGGCTTTCAGTGCCCTTTCTCCCAGGCTCCCTCAACTCTCCAACCAGTTCCTTATTATTCTTGAAAAGGGCTGTTTTAACAAAGTGAACTTCTTACTTTGCCTAGAACATTTTTGTTTATTCAAATCCACCAGCTCTACTACCTCCCTTCATTCCAGCTCTCACCTTGCTGCACACATGGGATGCTCACCTCATCATTTCACAAATATATGCTTAGCCACACCTTGTTCCTCAAGAGGCTGGTTCTTTCTTGGTCTCTTCGTTCCTGGCAAGTACACTGCTTTATTTTCTGGCACTTAGACTATGGTTCTTTATTTTCTTTCTTTCTTTATTAATTATTTTATTTGGCTGTGTTGGGTCTTCATTGCTGCGCGTGGGCTTTCTCTAGTTGTGTCGAGTGGGGGCTACTCTTCGTTGTGGTGCACGGGCTTCTCATTGTGGTAGCTTCCCTTGTTGCAGAGCACGGGCTCCAGGCACACAGGCTTCAGTAGTTGTGGCTCGTCGGCTCTAGAGCACAGGCTCAGTAGTTGTGGCGCATGGGCTTAGTTGTTCCGCAGCATGTGGGATCTTCCCGGACCAGGGATTGAACCCATGTCCCTTGCGTTGGCAGGTGGTTTCTTAACCACTGTGCCACCAGGTAAGTCCTAGACTATGGTTCTTTACCTTTTCCTGGATGGGAACTTGATGGGAGCCTGGCCTCTCTCCATTACAAAAGACTTGGAATTCCATTTCAGGGCACGCACAGACCCCTTGAATCCATGGACCACCTGAGGTTAAGAACTTCTAAACCTGTCCTGTCCCATATGGTAGCCACTAGCCACAGGAGACTGTTTATTTTTAAGTGAAACAAAATTTAAAATTCTTCAGTCTACTAGCCATGAATCAAGTGTTCAAGAGTCACATGTGGCCAGTGGCTACCACACAGGCCAGTGCAGATATAGGACATCTCCTTCACCACAGAATGTTCTATGGCACGGTGCTGTTAATACAATCCAAACACAGAACACAGTGCAGCCATTAACAAGGACGAAGCAGATCTGTTGATACACTCTCCATATCAATGAATTCATTACACACACACACACACACACACACCTCTTGCATGTGCATGGAAAAACCTGACAGGTTTTTTTCCTATTACTTATTTCAGGTAATGGCAGAGAGGGGAAAATTTCCACTTCATTTTATACCCCTGGGTGTTTTAAATGTTCAGTTTTTATGATAACATCCTACACTGGTGTATCTACACCCCCACCTGCCTGAACTAAGAGCTTGGCTTCTACTCCATGGCATGCAGAACGATGGAGAGAGACAGGAGGGAGATTCCTATCCTTAGTTACCCCAAGGGTCAAGGGTCTGTCCCACCCCACCCAACAAGCACCACTATGAATGCTTACTTTCTCTGCAGTCCGGTTCCAGACAGTCACCGTGTGACCCATTTTTAGCAAGTTGGAGACGATGCCACTTCCCATGAGGCCAAGGCCCAAAAATCCTATCCTGAAAAAGAGAGAGACTGATCAGTTCAAGGTGGGGGGTGGGGTGGGGGAGGACAAGGTGAGATCCTGAATGCCACACAGGCTCTGCTTCCTCATAAACCTGGGGAGCCTCACCTCAGACCACCAGGAACGCTCTGTGGTGTGCTGACACCACCACTGCAGAGCCAGCGGTAGTGCAGGCAAAGTGTGCCTTTTCTTATTATGCCACTGTTCAAAAGTGTTCATAAGTTTAAACAGGCATTTTTAAATCCTCAACTGCCACTGCAAGAAGTATGACTCATATGGTTTATGGCAAATCTTCCAAATCATTTCCTTGTTGTTTTGATAGAAGGTCTGAGCTTACGATTCCATTACAGCGAGAAAGGAGACATTTATCTTCAGATCCTGCAACAGTTCCCGATCAGCCACCTCGAGTCCTAGGCCTTGAGATGCCAATTTAAAGCACCTTGGGATCCATGACAAGTTAACAGGAGCAGTAAGTACAGAGCCAGCCACCTTCCTCAACTGCAGGAGTCAGCATCCTGGTGCTCACCTCCCCTTCCCAGCTCCACGCCCTGCACCACCTTTGCACTCTTCGTGCCGTCAGCAGGGACAGACCTTGCCTCGCTTCTTCAAAGCCTCACCTGAGCTTTGGAACCAATCTTTCCCAGTGCATGGATTCTTCTCCTGAACCTCTTTCCCCCTGTTGCTTCTCCACCCTGGCCCGTCCTTCTCTCCACCATGCCTTCTAACTGCAGGCCCATTATGATCCTTCTGAATCTGAAGCACTCAGGTGGACAGTATGTTCAGCTTACCTTCACTTCCTACAGCTTGCTCCTTCCTACAACCCCTAGAACTTGGGGGCTATGAGCTGCTACAAGCTTTTATAGATGATTTTACCTTTTTCCCAAATGTCTCTTCTTGGTTCTTGCACTTCTGTAACTCTCCTTGCATGAGACATGGCTAAACAATGCCTCTTTCTTCATTTAATTAATTAATTTTTTGGCTGCGTTGGGACTTCGTTGCTGCACGTGGGCTTTTTCTAGTTGCTGTGAGCCAGGGCTACTCTTTGTTGCAGCGCGGGCTTCTCACTGCAGTGGCTTCTCTTGTTGTGGAGCATGGGCTCTAGGTGCGTGGGCTTCAGTAGTTGCAGCACGTGGGCCCTAGAGGGTGTGGGCTTCAGTAGTTGTGGCACATGGGCTCAGTAGTTGTGGCTCGCAGGCTCTAAGGCGCACGGGCTCGGTTGCTCCACGGCACGTAGGATCTCCCTGGACCAGGGCTTGAACCCGTGTCCCCTGCATTGGCAGGCAGATTCTTAACTACTGTGCCACCAGGGAAGTCCTCTTTCTTCATTTACTACCTCATGTTCTTGTTTTCAGCTTGTGTTTCTCTCAGCTCTAAGATCCTCTGCAGCTTCTTCACTTTGACCTGTGTCATCCTTTCAGTATTTTTAGTCTCCTGGAAGTCATATCTGCAGCCACCTTTGCAAACTGGCTCAGAGGTTCCGCTATCATTGCTGGAATATGCACTCTCATACTCTCTGTCCCAGCCTGCTCTAAGTCATTTGAATCAAATGCTGAAAATGGAACCCACCACCTTCCTCACCATATGGCACCCTTGACCATTAAGTTTCAAGCCAAAGCTTAAAAACAGGGAGGTATCTTTTGTCATTCACAGCTATCTGGGTAGTACAAGTTTTCCCTATGATTCTAAATCATGACAGACTAATTCTCTTTCCTTTTCTTGGTGTTCCAGGACACCTAGAAGACCTGGGGATAAAGTTTATGCATTTTAAACACAGCAACTGACAGTCCCTCATGGTGTCCCTGAGGCAAGGTGGAAAATGTGGACCAGTACGATGCAGCTGGTCTGCTCTGTAGTTGGCTTTACACTCATGTTAAAAAAGGGTTTGACTGATGGGAGAAAACACTGGACTCTGTCCTTGACCTAGAGCTGGATTTTTTAAAAAAGCCAACAAAATCCTCATTAATTTAATGGGCAATACCCATTCCTCTTTTTATTAGCATATAACATGCCTCTAGCTCCTTCACTCCACTAAGGAAGTTCACTAAATACAACTGACAGAATAAGTGACTTTAACAGTACAAAAAGTGATGAATAATGTAAAAGACACTGTTTTTAGTCTGAGAAAGAACCCTATAGAAGACTCAGATGGGAGATTCAGACTTAGCTACGTACTTCAAGAGAATGCTTCTTCTTCAAGAACCCTTTCCATCAATACAACTAGCTGTCAGAATTGAGGCAACGGCAAGTGTGGATGCAAGCTAAGGCCTGGGGACCACAGTCAAGTCCCCCACCTGTCTGGGTGGGGCAGAGAGCAGCAGGCAGGTGCACAGGAAGGACAGGGAGGCGACAGCAGGGAGAGCCAGGGAAGGCAGGACAACGGGCTGCCTTCATCTTTTGCCCCCACCAGGGCCAAGGACAGTGGTTCTTAAAGCATGGTCTCCTGATGAGCACCAGCAGCTATCTGGGAATTTGTCCACCCCAGACCTACTGATCAAGAAACCCTAGGGGTGGAGTCAAGCAATCGGTGCTTTACGAGAGGCCTTCCAGGTGATTCTTTTTTTTTTTTAAGTTAGCTGTTTTATTTATTTTTTTGGCCACGCTGCAAGGCTTGTGGGATCTTACTTCCCCGACTAGGGATCAAACCTGGGTCCTTGGCAGTGAGAGCTCGGAGTCCTAACCACTGGACCACCAGGGAATTCCCCAAGGTGATTCTGAGACACAGGAAAGTCTAAGAACCACTGATCCAAGTGTTCCCTGCTTGGAGACTCACCAGTGAGCACGAAGCCAAATCCACAGTACATTTATAGGGCAGCTTCTGTCTCCCACAAGTCAAATTACTCCTAGGCAAGTCGTAAGAATTACAACTTTCCCTTTCTCTTTCCATTTAGTCCCAGCAACGGTTGGGACACAACCCTTAACAAGCCACCTTGAGGTCACCCTCTGGCCCCAGCAGAACCAGAGGCACAGGAAGCCTCTTCATCAAAGGTCCTACTTTTTGTCTGTGGGTGTGATGCTGCCATTCACAGCCGTGCTGTCTGCTGCCTGGATGGAGGTGGACCCAGTCTCCTAGGGAAAGGAAGCACAAGTTGTCAGGTCAGCCTGCCCATGTGAGGCCCTGATGAAAATAAAAATGAGGAGGCATGTAACATACGTACCTCTTCACATATTTTCAATTTCTTTGTGATTGCCTGGTAACAGACAGCTGGCTAATAAAGAAGAAGTGAGAAAACCACTTATTAAACTGAACATTTAACCAGTCTTCATTACGATTTCCCTATTAAGGTTAGGCCCAAAGCGGGAAGTTAACATCAAAAACTTCTCTGGTGTCCAACCTTACTGAATTCCAAACCACACATGAAAAGTTAACTTGCGTCACTTCATTCAGCTCTCACGCAGCTCTACAAGATGCTTTTGCTGATCATGATGTTGAAAATCAGAGGTGTTAGGTCACGCGCCCAGAATTACAGACCTGATCAGTATAACTGGGCTTGGAATACAGATCTGTCCAACTCCAAGGCCACATAGCATCAGCAGATCCTATCAGGGCTCAGCCTAACCGACAGCCCTGTAGACACTTGGGGAAACTCCCCCCGCACTCCCAGGGCTCATGGAGACTGCCTTCATCCAGCAGCACTGGCTACCTTGTGGGTGGTCGACAGCTCCTGAGGTTTCAATTCCATCCTAGACTCTGAAGGCAACCGCAATTGTCTCAACCACACAGCCACTAAGTTTTAAAAGCTTTTTTGGGTTCATTTTTAATCCTTTTTTTTGCGATACGCGGGCCTCTCACTGTTGTGGCCTCTCCTGTTGCGGAGCACAGGCTCCGGATGCGCAGGCTCAGCGGCCATGGCTCATGGGCCCAGCTGCTCCGCGGCATGTGGGATCTTCCCGGACTGGAGCACGAACCCGCGTCCCCTGCATCGGCAGGCGGACTCTCAACCACTGTGCCACCAGGGAAGCCCCATTTTTAATCTTAACAGTGCCTGATTCACGAGTGGTCCTCTATGTAACTTTTAAACTTAACTAGTTGCTCTGGGCAGCAGTACAGGTAGAGACTAACTTTTCAGACTAGGGTGAGGTTCCAAATGAGCAGGACTCTCCCCTCAGGCCAGCTCCTGACCAAGGATGAAGAACCTCAAAGAACAACTTACCTTCTCGGTTTGGCTGAGCAGGAAGTGATGGAAATGAGGGTCTGCATCTTTAACAGGCTGAAACCAGAAAATGATTTAATAAAACAAGTTATCTTCCAACACAGGTCACCTCCTTCTACCCGAGAACCAGCTTCTCCTCTGGCTGAAACACCTCTGGGAGCTGGGCTCATTCTTACAACTGCCTGGAAACTCTTCTCCCATTGCTGGTCTAAGCCTTTCATAAACAATGCCCATTCTACCTGGAGGAAAACTGGCTTCAAGTGGAAAAGAATGAACATTTCTGCCAGGTTGGTGGATAAATTATTCCCAAACACTGGAATAATATTTTAAAAGCATACTATTTTTTAAATCCAGCATTCACCAGTCACTTCGGATAACCCAGCAGACCAAACCAAATTCTCAAACTTTTCTGATCTTAGAATTTTGGCCCACTTGTGCCTGGTGCCAGACCCTTGAGTGTCTTGACTCACTGAGGATCAGTATTAAAAGAAATGAGGAGACAACAACTGCAGGACTGTCAAGGGCTTTTCCTAAGTAGGCCCAGCAACAGGGGGACGGTGCATCCACCCCAAGGATAAGGTAGTGTGCAGCTACCAAACATCAAAGCTGTATATACAGTGAAAGGGTGTTTATAAAGTACCAAGTGGAAAAAATCTGCAGAATGATCCCACTTTTGTGAAAACCAACACTACTCCCGAAAGTAAAAACTGTAACATGGGTATGTGATTATGTAAATGATGGTTAAGTGGGTGCGCCAAAGGGTTTGGAGTGAGTTACATCAAGCTTAACAGTCAGGATGCCCCAGGGTGGAGACCTGTGCTTTTTAACTCATTCACTTCTGTACTGTTTGGCAATTAAAAAAAAAAAGTCTCATACACAAGAAAAGTGGGGGAAAGGAAGAGCACATCACACAGTCAGGCCAGGAAACCAGCTCTGAGGCCGGGCTTCTCCTGGCCCACGGGAGAGGTTATTACCTCACTCACGGTTGGTTGCCATTTAAACGCGGCCATGGGTCCGGCCATCATCCCCTTCACAGTACTAGACTCGGGGATGGTGAGGTCCTACAGAGGGAAAGGCAGATCGTCAAAACGCCGTGGCACCTCAGGAGCAGGTGCCTTCCTGCCTAACTTTGGGAGCACCTCTTCACTGTTTTGCTCCCTTTAGTCACACTCCACCCCGAACTAGCCCTGCCAGCTCCACGGTCTCCCCAGGCATGGCTCTGATGACTGTCCATTGGGAGAAACAGGGCAAGTTCCTGTCAACACAGAGGGAGCCTTTCTTCTTCTCTGTTCTAGAAGTAACAAATGTGTTCCTGTGCCAAAATTTCATAAGGATGGAGGTAACGGGAAAGCCCGATTGTGGTCTGTAGTGTGGTCAGCAGGTCACAGAGAAAATTCCTTATGGCAAATAATGAACATTAAGATAACAATACTGGCTTCAGAAGGAATCCACCATATCTCAAATAAAACTAAGAAAGCCACATGGAGCAGTGAGGAGATCTGCCCAACTTTTTACAGCTGCTAAGTGACAAAGCCAGAATTAGAACCCGGAATGGTCAGGAGCCAGGAGCCTGCTCTCTCCCCAGACAGAAGGTAGGAACCATTTGGGTGGGGGAGTCAAGAGTTCAGTGGGGCATGTTGAGATCTCCACTAGACAGCCAAGGGGAAAATGCAAGGAGGGCCACCGAGGCTGGAAGACAGCAAATGGGGAGAGGGACATGAGGTCAAATCTGTGGTGGAGGGGCAAGAGCAGATCAGCTGTAAAGCTTTATCCCTAGACACCTGGCCCTCAGTGGAGACGCTCAAAAAAAAAAAAAAGAGGCCCAGTGCAGTACTGTCCCAGAGAAGTTTGTCATGATGGACACGTTCTGACTCCACTTTATCTAGTGCAGTAGCCATAAGTCACATGTCACTATGGAGCACCTGCTAGTGTGACTAAGAAACTGGATTTTAATTTGGGTTTAATGTAAATTAATTTAAATGTAAATGGTCACCAGCCTAGTGACTTGTCTAAGGCCACAACAGAAGGGAGTGAGGTGAGAACACAGCTATCTGTCCAGCACTGACCAAAGGCCTCAACTCCTGACTCCTTGCTCTCTGTACAAGTCTGGATTTTAGGAGAACCACGGACAGTCCTGTCGTGTCCAGATGGTTTGTGCCCGGAGTTGCAGTTCTCAGCTCAGGACTCAGAAATAAGAGCCCCAAAGAGAGAATGAGTGTGCACCCCTCACATGGCTCCCACACAGAGTCTAGACACAAACCCAGACTTCGCCTTCCCGCACATAATCGACCCCTGCCATCAAGGTCAGGCTTTTCAGTTAATCCTCATGGGACAGAGAATTATGGCCCAGACTGGCAATCATCTGGGGCTCTGCCCAGTTATCAGCTAGGCTACTGTGCTGTTTCAGAGAGGAGCTCGCCAGCCAAATGACAATTACTATAGCAACACACACTCTTTTGTGAGGAGTAAGCCTGGCAGCAGCCCCTGGGGTTGCACTAAAACCACACTCTCACTGCACAGCAGGCTACTGCTAAAAAATAATAAATGTACAATGTTCATCAAATGTATAGTGTCGCAGGCACTAAGTATTTGGCTTATGTTACTCATTTAATTCTTAAACCTAAGAGGCTTTATTATTTTCAATGAGCAGACAAGGAAAAGGCAAAGTTAGTTGGCCAAGGTTGCACAGCTGTAACAAGTCACGGAGTCATGATTCAAACTCTAGGTCCTCCTCCTAACCTCTCCTTGATACCGCCCTTTATCCAAAAAGAAGTTTCTCTCCAGGGCGAGCACAGGAGTTGGTGAGATCCATGGCTTAAGATACCAGACAGTATGAATCTGGAGAACAGTATAAAACCTGACAGCCCAGATTTCTGTGGGTCCCCAGGAAATCAATTCAATTGGATCAAATCAGATCATACCCCCTGGAAGTTCTTCATGCACTGCTCCTGGCAATTTCTAAACTTTTTCCACCTTTGGTTGGAGGTTCCCTGCACTCATGGTCACCTTGGCTGTCCCCACCGCTACAGCTGCTCTCATCTACTCTGTCTTAGGTCATCTAACAGCGAGGACCTTCTCTAATGCAGAGATGGCACAGTGGCAGCTGACAGGCTGAATCTAGTCCAGAGAGATGTTCCTTTGGACCTAAAAGTGTTTTAAAATTTTGAGTTAGCTTCTAACATTTAAAACTGGAACATTTCACTTAAAAAAAAAAATCTGTATTTCCAGCTTCTCTTGAGGAAAACCAGACGATTCGGCAAAAGTTGGCTGTAACCCTGAGGGGGGGCCTTGGCCTCCCCAGACAGCAGCCACTGCCACCCCTAATGCTCTCGGCCCAACCTCCTGCTTGAGCACTCTCTCCCTTCCCTGCCTGGTCTCACTGGTGTCTGAACTTGCAAGTTTTGATCTCACGCTCAGCGTTTCATCACGGCCTCATAACCCGTCTGTCTGTGCCAGCCATCTGGCTTCTAACCCCATGATCCTGCTCTAACAATCTTCCCCTGTGTTTTGACAGACTACCCCCTTCACCTCAAATTCTCCTCCCTTGGCTTCTAAGACTCATACAAATCTTTTTGGGAAGAAGGTGAGAGGTATATTATTTCTGCTTTACTTTACTTTGCCGGCTCTGCCCACTTCTTCCAACCCTGAGCTATGTGCGTTCTCTCTGCAAAGCCAACTTCTGCCCTTCACTCTTCTCTCTCCTTGCTTCCCCCTAAGACAATCCCCATCTGGTCTCATGGATCCAACGTCCTCTCTAGATATTCGCTCCTCCACACCTACATTTCCATCCTATGTTATTGGAAGCCTCCCTGGCAGTCTAGACATCATTCCAAATGCATCACACTCAAAACAGAAAACTGGTCCTCTTGCCCCATAAGCCAGCTCCTCTCCTTACTCCTCTGCTCAGAAAAAAGGCATCATCATTTCCCCAGGCACAGACTTGAAATCATCTCCCTTCCCTTTTTTCCATCATCCCCTATATGTAACCAGTTACCAAATCTTATGAACTCTTCTTCTGAAGTGCCTCTCACACAGTGTTCCTTTCAATATTTGCTATCCCACCCACTGCCCACCCCCGCCAAGGAAAGCTCCTTATGAACGCACACCTGAAGTTGCCCTTCTCATTGGCTTTGAGCCTTTCTTCTCTGCCCGCCATGATCCCTAACACACAGCTGGGAGCACACTGCCACCTCCACATCCAGCTCAAACACCTTCATGGCCCCCTACTGACTCCATAACAGTATAACACTGCTTAGACCTCAAGGCTCTCCACAATCGGGTGACAACCTATCTTTACCTGTCAGGTCTCCTTCCTGTCCTCTACCAGTACTGAGACTCTGCATGCCAACATCGAGCCCACGTGGGTTGTGCCCTTCGTGTATGGAAGGCCTTCCCTTCTTTCCTGCTCAGCCCTTTCCAGTGCCAGCCCTTGCACGCTGGCTCAGGTGGACCCTTCTCCTCCTTCGACCATCTGGTCCACCCGTGCACCCAGGCCGTGCCCCTCCCATGGTCTGCAGAATTCTTTAGGGCAGCACATAGCAGAGGACTCTACATCCATTCAGGGAGCTGAAGCATACCATAGAGCTCAGCTCTCCGGTATACAAAAGAAAGTCACTAATCCCAGAAGCTACAGAGATAAAACAAACCTTCTCATCCTTTGGGGGCCGACCCCGCTTCCGGGGACTTTGCTCTTGGGCTCTTTTCAGAGGGGACTTGGAGCCTCTCTCTGAGGAGCCTGAAGACACCCTCTTCTTTCCTTCTCCCATGTTCTTCTTCACCTTCCCTTCAGACAGGCTAAGCTTGCGCTTCTCATCACCTGAGTTTGGCCTACTTCTCTCCTCACTGGAATTACGCCGATTCTTGTCATCAGCAGAACTGTGGGACGATGTCTGAAAGTTTAATAATAATAATGATAACAACCACAACACCCGCCACCATCACTACCATGATTTACAGGAGCCACACCCTGTGATAAGTGCTTTACGTGTGTTATCCACACAACAACCCTATGAAGTAGGCTCTGCTGTCAACTCCACTTATATCTGGGGAAGTGGATTGAAAAAGAAATTCAAGTCACTTGCCCACAGTCCCCAAACTGGATTTACACCCAGGGAGTGGATATAGCCCAGAGGCCGTGCTCTTAACCTCCATGCTATAAAAGGGAGAAGGCCTGTGCTATACTCAAAAGCTGAGATACTTCTCCTGGGTCCAAGAGACTTTCCTAAGAGCAACAATCTGTTCCAGAAAGGTCAGCCACATGCATGGAGTTTCAAGTTGATTAGCAAAACGCTGATACCTTAGAACTGAAGTAGCTCTCTCTCCACTGGCATTGCATTAAGAATAGTTTTGGGTTCGGGCGATATTTAATCTGTCAGTTACTATGCAAAAATAACCAGTCTGGAGTCGGCATAAAGTGAGAATCGTGAAGCCTCTCACCTGGTCTTTCCCTTTGGCTCTCCTGAGGAACTCTTCTACGGCATCCACAGCTTGCTGGAATCGTTTTCCCTTGTTAATCTTTATCATTTCCTCCTTATGTGCATGATATGGCTTGAGCTGTTCCACTTTGATCCAGGCACTGGCAGAAAACAGAGAGAAAGGATATGATCCACACTGCCTATGCCCCAAACTATCGAAGACCTCACCCCAGCAGAATGCAAATACCTGTTTGGTTTAACTGGATTTTGAAACAGGCCTTCCACCTTTTTCCAAAACATGCTATTGACCACCCCAAACTCTTGAGCCTAAAAGTATGTTTTCTTGAAACAAGTCAAACAACCACCACCAAAATCAGCATCCTCCAAAATCACCGCACTGCAGGTTATTTCCACTCTTATTCACCAGCCTTCCACACTGAAACACACATACTCTGCCACTAGCTCAGGGCAGAGGAAACTTGTAGATGTGCTCCCATTCTCACTACACAGTACAAATGGCCCCACGTAGATCCCAGGGAATCAGGGCTCTTGGAAGCATTGTCAACCACAGCAGCATCACTGTCCATCAAGAGCCTGAGCCAGAATGATGACCTATCAATCCACTGAGGATGTGGGATGCTACGAGGGCTAAAGAAAGGCAACATCTTCAAAAATCTGCTGCTTCTACAAATGTTTGCAGCCTTGGAGCCTCTATTTATTCATAAATGATTGTACCCAGGGCTACTAAACCACACAAAACTTGTGACACATTGGAAAAAGGGCAGTAGTCACAAAAGGAGGCTTTTAAAAACAAGATTCTACTTGAGATTAGAGGAAGGGGAACATACTCTTCCTATTTTTAATTCCTACCACCAATGCAAAACACATGAAAATGAAAAAAGCCATCAACTCTGGAATAACTGTCCTATCAAACTAACCTGCATAAATCTGCCCCAGTTGGCTTTTGTGGTTTCCCTAAATGACATTCAGTTTCCAGAACACTAGTAATAATGGAGAGAATTTTATAGGCTTGGCAAGGTAAGAGTTGATTTACATATTTTACCATGCAATACTCAGAGGTTTCATAGCATAACCTTCAGAAAAAGTGGGTCAAGTCAAGGATATAGAAACTAGGCTATCACACTAACTTAGGATTCTTTCCTTTAGAGAAAGCTAGAGAATATTCACTAATAACAGTACAAGTGCTAACCTGTGCACATAAAAATAGAGCTACCAACCCAGCAACAGCCACCTGTGCTTCGAGTGGTTGTGCTAATGGCTGTGATGATGGATCTGCACAAACACAATCTCTGGAACCATCAGTCTGCAAACTAGGACTAGGCATGTTATCTATGGGTAAACAAGACTAGAGAGAATGAAACAACGAACGGGCACTCAGTTGCTAGTCTTATTGCACAGGGCTCCAATGAGATGAATGAAGTAAGCAGGTACCCTTCTAGTGACCAACGCATCTTGAGGTTTGAAATTGGACACAACAGACCCAATGGGTCTGATCTACAAGGAGGAAAAATGGAATTAAATTTTGACCCTACATTAATTAGCAAGTGCATTTACAGCATTTCTAAGGACAAACCACCAGCGCAATCAGAAGAAAAGCCAGACACACCTTGAAAAGCAAGTCAAACTTTCAGATTAAATGGTAGCTCTAAGGTGACACAAGTATCAGTGATGAAGCTTAAAGACCCACAGTCCTCAGGAGAAGCCTCCTCCCTCTCCGAGCTTCAGGTCAGAAGCTGAGACCTGCCCAAGTTCCTAGCATAAGAAAGACTGGGTGGTTTTCATCGAGCCCCTTGAGATGGGACAAGAGACTCTAAGAATCCCTAACTCCCTCTTCCTCAACCCCCTCAAATGAACCTCTGATTCAAGTGGAAAGGTGAGAACATCTGTGGAGGAAGCACTAATAAATCCATGCCTATCTGTTAGTTGAAGCATTTTAAGTGCATTACTGACTTCTGTCATGAGAACAGTACAGTCAGTATTCACTCATCCTGGGGCTTCCCTGGTGGTGCAGTGGTTGAGAGTCCGCCTGCCAATGCAGGGGATATGGGTTCGGGGATATGGGTTCGTGCCCCGGTCCGGGAAGATCCCACATGCCCCGGAGCGGCTAGGCCCGTGAGCCATGGCCGCTGAGCCTGCGCGTCCAGAGCCTGTGCTCAGCGACGGGAGAGGCCACAACAATGAGAGGCCTGCGTACCGCATTAAAAAAAAAAAAAAAAAAAAAATTCACTCATCCTAAATAAAGACTGGCATTTGAGATACTAAAATTTTCCTCTTATGACCATCTTTGAAAAGTGAAAATAATTTGCTAAAAGAACTGACAGTATAAATATGACTTCAACAAGATAAATGCAAGAAATGTTAATCTACTTAAGAAATCAACCTCTTGTTGGAGAAACTCCTGTCACATCAGAAAAATAGTAAATAAAAAGCCAGCCCACTGGAGCCCTAGGAAGATGATCTCTTTAAAGCAAGATGAATTGAAATTCACTTTGGCCATCTCAATAATTTTCTCTCTGAAGGCTATATTGCAAAACTCTGTCTCCTTAAAAAGGGCAAGCTTGAATTTCAGCTGGAGCTTCAATAAGCCCCACTCTCCATCCACTGAGGCCCATCAGGCGGGGCCTGGCATGCAACTGGTGCTCAATAATCACCCAGTAAATGACAACTTCTAGGCACCTTCAGGGGAGCTGGATTGCTGACCTCTGGGTTAAATAATGTATGGTTGCGGAGGCTTTTTGTAGTTGTTGCTGTTGTTTGTATGTTTTTAAAGTGACTGTTCTGTTTCTTTGCTTGATATAAGCTGTAACTTGTGATTTCCCTCTTAACGAGCTCCCAATGCCTAGATGGAGCTGTACCTTTTCCAACCAATTTGCTGTGGGCTGGGAAGTCAAAAAAATCAGGCTTAGTCAAGTTGTGTCTAACGAACCGGCCTTGCTTCTATATACAAGGAAGTTAATTACACGTTGTTTGTAGAAGTAAATGCCCGAAAACAAGCTAACTGGCAATCAGTGAGATCATTACAAAGAATGAAATGGAAGGTCCCTTAAGATACTTGGCTAAGTGGAAAACAGCAAGATACAGAACAGTGTGTGTAGTATGCAAGCACTTGTGTAAAGACGAGGAAAAAGAAGCATGTAACTTCCTGATGATGTGCAGTTGTCTCTGGAGGGACTCGCCATAAGAAACTAGTATAATTGGATGTCTATGGGCCAGAAACTGGGTGGCTGAGGGATGAGGATGAATGAAATTGTTTCAACAGTTTATAGCTTGATTTGCAGGGAAACCATGAATATCTATTATTCCTAAAAAACAACATATCAACGATAAAGGCCTCTGCTCTAGCACATGGGCTACCCTGACTGCCCAGAGGGTTCTCCCCCATGACTTCCTTGTGTAGGTCTGCTCAGGTGGGTAGCTACTGCCTGGCTGACAGTGTAACAGCACCTGTAACATGGCCAAGAGCAGCAAACGTACGCTGGTATTCTGATACACCTCCCCCAAATGCCTTCCATTTGAGAATATAAAACTTCCACTAAGCCACCTTCCGATTATACACTCAAAATAAATTTTAAAATTTCACATTTTCAAACACTTCCATAATTCTGATCTGCTTTCCCCTTAAATTAAAACTAAACTATGATATCATAGTAAAGAAGCCAGTCTATGAACAATCTCAAGCACCCTCGTCTATGCGTCTCAGACTTCACAGCAACAATGACCTGGGCGGGAGAAAGAGAGTACACACACGCAAGCATAGCCCACAGGTGAGAACAAGGATGAGGTCAGAGATGTGTGTTTGCCTCTCCATCTGGATTTGGGGAGTACTGTAGTACTTCATAAATAATTTCTATGCTTGCCCCATACCCCCTTACACCAATAAAAGAGGCTGAGGATTACTGAGGTGTTACAGGTCCAAGTCTAAGCTATTCAGAAATCAAGACACCCAAAAAAATGCAAATCAAAAAACAAAACAACCAAAAAAGCCACAAAACAAATAACTAACAATTTCAGTTAATTTCAAGCAACTGATTATCATACAGACATCAACAAAGACTTGCAGGGACTTCCCTGGTGGTGCAGTGGTTAAGAATCCGCCTGCCAACGCAGGGGACACGGGTTCGATCCCTGGTCCGAGAAGATCTCACATGCCACAGAGCAACTAAGCCCGTGCGCCACAACTACTGAGTCTGCGTGCTGCAACTACTGAAGCCCGTGCGCCTAGAGCCTGTGCTCTGCAACGAGAAGCCACAGCAATAAGCCCACTTGCCACAACTAGAGAAAGCCCACATGTAGCAATGAAGACCCAACGCAGCCAAAATAAATTTAAAAAAAGTTTAAAAAACCCCCCCCAAAACCAAAGACTAGCAGAGAAAATAGATTTAGAAGATTTTTGTTTCCAAAACTTGAAAACATTCCCAAATGCTGGATAAGGCTCTCAAGCTGCACTGCCAACACCAACATGGCCAGCCACTTCTTTTCATGCATGGCACCTGTTCCTGGGGTCCACTGCCTCAGACACGAAGGGTGGCACCTGTAGGACAGGAGCTGCTGTTGGCGCTGGGAGGGGAGAACCTGCTCAGAGCTCTCTAGGATAACTACTGTCCAGCTCTGGCAGAGGGACACTGCTGGCTCACTCCAAATACTGGAGCAGTGGCTCTCACTATCTGCTTGGCTCAATTCTCCAACCATTGCATGTGTTGGATGCAGGGAAAGTGGGTCAATCAGGTGCCAGGTGAAAAGAAAAGGGGATGCTCAGATGGTTCCAATCTGCTATGCTTCTAATTATGAGCCAAAAACTTTTCTAGCAGTTACTTCATTATTATTTAAAAAAATTTTTTGGCTGCATCTCGAGGCTTGTGGGATTTTAGGTCCCCGACCAGGGACTGAACCCGGGCCCTCGGCAGTTGAGAGCGAGGAGTCCTAACCACTGGACCGCCAGGGCATTCCCTGCTAAAGTTACTTTAGCACTCACTCAGACACCTCACAACCAGGCTGTCCCACCTTATATCTAGCTTGATGTAAAAAGTACCTCAGGCTGGGACCTTGGACATCTTATCACTTAAATCCTTGTTTCCTGACTGCTACAGAAACTCTTGTTTGGGATTTACCCATTGTTTGCCCATGGTATTCTTTGAACTGG